TTATCTAAGCGTCGACCTAAAGGCACAACCACATGTCAAAATTTTCCAACTCAATGATACACCAAATAACTGGCACACTTTTTCCAATCTCATCATTCATCAATGAATGACTGGGGGGAGGGAATAGTGTAAGTATAGGTCCTAGATTTGTAACCTAGGACGTCTTACAACAACTTATTAAGATCCACCTAGATCTCAAGCCCAATATAGCTAAGGTCAAATGACCCTATGGCTGAAGTCAAAGTCTCCTTTTTTACAAGGGCATGATAGTTACTGTAAGATTGTACCTTACTAATCTTAGATGTTTGCTTTATTAGCCATGTTGTGTTCTTATTATTTTGCCAAGAAGACCAAGTGGATGCCTTCTTAAGGTCGATAAATAGCCCCCGAGGGTCACCTACTACAGGTATTTAAAATCGACCTAAAGCTTTCTTTTTATTTCTTTAAAATAGACTACAGTATTGCTAACTTAAATATTGGAGTGTCTACAGATCTTGGGGCCTTGTAGGTCAACCTACTTTGAGGTTCGGATTAGAAGAAGAAGTGAAGATTTTTTTTCAATTACTAAATTTGGGATTCTTAGAGAACCTAGTTCTTTTGAAATGAAAAAAAAAAAAGGGAAAAAGAGATGAAGAGATGCAAATACCAAATCAGAAGCAAAGGAAGCTTGAATGGAAAGGGATGAAGGAAATTGGACATTGCAACGACTTTAGCGACAATTATTGTTGAGGAATGTTAGAGACAATAGTGAGAAAGTGGAAAATGGTTAGCTTAGCAATTGTTTTGGTGTGAACATAGAAGCAAGTGGCTACTTTTCCATTACATAACAAACATTAGAGCACTAAAACCCTTGGTTTTGATGGAGGAAGAAGAGGAAGAAGATGAGGAAGAAGAAAAATGGAGAAAGAAAAACCTAAAATTATGGAGGATGTGGCATGCTTAGGTGGAATAAGTTTATTAATGTGAGGAGTAACATGGCAATTTTTAACAAAGCGTAATAGGCATGTGATGACATGCTAGTTTTTATCGTTAATTTAGGCATAAATTTTCAAACTTGCACTGTTTAGGAGCTTAAAGTTATAAAGTTATAATGTGAGGAAATCTAAGGTCAAACTTATAAAGTTCAAGGGTGAATCAATGATTTTTGCCCAAGAGCTTGTGATGATGAGTCCGGGATAAGAAAATAAGGCACATATAATATATTTTATAGTTAAATTGGGTGAGCCTGTGGCTTATGTTTCAAATAAGAGAGTGTATAAATCATTTTTTTTTAATTAATAGTAAGTTTATTTTTGTTTAGTATAGTTCTAATTTTTAACTTTAATTTTGAGTTTTTAAATTTTACAACTTTAACAAAAGATTCCCTTCATGTATGATTTAATACATTACTACGATAATTATTAGACAAGAATAAGAAAAGAAAAGAAAAAGTAGTTTTAATACCATTAAACATACGGTATTAAAAAAGCATCTATTAAAAAATAGATTCTTTTACTTCTTCTTTTCAAAATAAATGTTGTTTTAGATTTTTAGTTTGTTTTAAATTAATTGTCATTTTTTTATATTTTAAGATAGATAAATATTTTTTTCTTACTTTAACTCTATCATTATCTATTTATTTTAATTAATTATCATATTACAAAAAGTCTTACTTTATCATTTATTTTTTTTCTAAACATAATATGGATAAATAAATAAATTACCTCCAAATCCTTAACTTAGAGAAAAAGAATTAAAAAATGATAATTATTTTGAAACAAAGAGAGTATTAAACAAATTTATTATTTTAGATGTTAATGTTAACAAATTATTGATTTTTTATTTTTTGTTTTAGTTTTTAGTTATTAAGACAAAAAAAATAATAATTACAATCATACTAAATAGGCATTAATCACCTCATGGAATTATAAATTACCAGTTATTAAAACAAAAAATTACGAAGTTGACGCTACCGGCAATCAAATTCATGCTTTAGGCAAGGAATTTATCCTTTTCTTCATGCAGTCAAGAAGATCAACTGTTTGATGAAAAAGGTAACAGAGTTCAGCTTATCTTGGTGGGATGCTGAAAATAGAATCCATCTCCCTTCCATCAAAATCAAATGCCTAGAATGATTTCAAACAGGCAAGAGTGCTCATTTTACTTTTGGGCCGGGTTTTTTAACTTGTCTCTTAATTAATTAGTATTAAAAAATATAAAAATTATCATTAATTGCACTATTAATATCTATAAATTGTTTTAATTAGGCCATCATTTATATAAAGGTCAACTTTTATTAATATTAAGGTTAATTAATATAAAAAAAAATAATTATACAATTTTAAAAAGGCCTTTATTTTTTATCACGAAGAAAACAGCTACCCAAGACGCTAATCACCATAATCATTCTGTGGTGTTGTGCGGTTGGGTATAGAGGGTGTATGGTGTTTATTGAAGCTTAAAAAGTACTTGTTTAAAAAATAAATTTTTTATTTATAAATTTAAAATTTTATTAAAAAAAATTCTAAAAATTAATTTTTAATATGATATTTGAGCAAATTTTGAAAACATCATATATTTAAATTTTTTAAAATTATTTAAAGATACCTTTAAAAATTAATTTTAAAATTTTTTTAATAAAATTTTAAACTTATGAAAAAAAATTATGCTTTTTGTATAAATACTTTTTAAATTTTGAAAAACACACTAATAGACAAGTCTCTATC